AGGAGTATCCTTCAATTAGAACTTTAAGTTAGATTTTGTTAACTCTATGTAAGGATCATTGTCATGATTACTTACTCCTCTCTTGGCTTTTGTCAATGTCAATCCCCTTGAGTGTTAAACCTAGATCTAAAGAGTTTTGTCAAACTCTATACAAACGTTGTTATGCTTGTTCCCCCTTGGAGTCTTGACCATAGTCAAGTATTCCTTGACCCTAGTGAGGAGAACTACGGTTGCTCTAATTCCATCCTAGTCAGGATACATAGGCATAAGATGCAATATCTTTGCGAGCAAACTTAGAACTATCTTTAGGTCTCTGCCTAGAACTTTACCCTAACCCTGATCCAATAACCCTAGCCAACAACTTAGATAACTTATCACACACACAAAAGTTTCCTGTGGAGTACTACATATGTCTAGGATCTGAAATAACTACCCTAAGCATAACCAACCCCCGGAGCTGAGCTGTAACTCTGGAGCGTCTGAGCGTCAGACTGTTCCGTAGATACAACTCCGAAAGTTTCAGCTATATTTTAAACATGCATGATCATTCCCCCATTGTTGTCTTTTCTTCTTCCATACTCACTTCACCAACCTAAAAAATTTATACTATCAATATCATTTTCACTCCAAATCTCCAACTTTTTCGTGCAACAAATCACAGGGAGCAAGTGAAGATAGAACTTCAGGTAAAGATTTCACTTTGTCCACTACATTGCTCACAATAATCATCAAAGTTTTGGAAAAAAAAGTAATGTTGCTTCCGGAGCTGTACCTCTGGAATGTGTTGAAGATGAACACTTTCAGATGTACACCTCTAGAACGTGTCTATTCTATTTTTTTTACAGAAGATTTGTGTTTTTTTATTATTTACAAATAGATATGGTGCACCCCAATAATATCTCTAAAGAATTAGTTTTCATAAACGATGTTTCTCCAAATGTTCAAGGGGTTGTCATAAAATCGGTAGATGTCGGTGTTGACTTTAATAACAAGCAAAAGTTTGATGATCATGATAGCATGCTCACATGGATTCGTAGGACTGCAACTAGACTTGTTTTTGGTGTGGTTATAGGAAGATCGGATAATGGTTCAGAAAGAAGAAACACTTTTGTTACTTTGTTGTGCGAAAGAAGCGGTAAATATCAAATTCCTCTCCAGAAATTGAAGAGAGAAGAGACGGGTAGCAGGAAATGTTAGTGTCCGTTTAAGCTTCGTGGTTACATGTTGAGTAGCAAAAAATGGAAATTTAGTGTTATTTGTGATTTGCATAACCATGATTTGTGCTCAAAGTTACAAGGTCATCCTAGTGTATGTCGGCTCAAGCCGGAAGAGAAGACATGTATTAGTGACATAACCTTGAATCTTTTCCAACCAAAAAATATACTTGCCACATTGAAACAGAAGGAACCCAACAATATATCAAATATAAGGCAAGTGTATAACATTCGGTACCGCACCAACAAGGTGATTAGGGGAGGTAGAAGTGAGATGCAACAACTGTTGAAATTGTTGGATGATAACAATTATGTGTCCCGATAGAGAACTTGCGATGATGGAGTTACGGTCCGAGATATTTTTTGGACTCATCCGGATTCGATAAAGTTGTTCAACACGTTTTTGACAGTGCTCATTCCTGATTCTACCTACAAGACCAACAAGTATAGACTTTATTTATTTGAGATGGTTGGTGTTATGTCTACCGAGAAGACATATGTCGTTGGTTTTTCTTTTCTCGAGTGTAAAAATGAGGACAATTTTACATGGGAATTAGAAGTGTGTCGGTCACTTTTTAAGGACCATCTTGAGATGCCTAAAGCGATTGTTACCGACCACGATATCGCGTTGATGAATGCATTTGCAAAGGTATTTCCTTCTTCTAATGCATTACTTTGTCGATATCACATAACAAAGAATGCGAGAAGTCGGGTTAAACCCGCGGTGGGGGAGAAACAAGTAGAGTTCGAAGGTGGAAAATTGGTGAAGGTCGCTGTGATTGTTGAAAAAAATAATGGATGTATGGAATCGTATACTAAATTCTTCCACAAAAGAATTATATGCTGATTCCGTCATTCAATTCCGAAAAGTGTGTGAAAAGTATTCTTCTTTGTTGAAATATGTTGAAAGCACAATTCTTGATCAGGTGAAGGAGAAAATAGTTTGTGCGTGGATTGATAATGTTCGACACCTTGGAAATATAACCACCAACAGAGTTGAGTCGGCCCATGCTAGTTTGAAAATTTGGTTGGGAAATAGCAAGGGGGATTTATGTCGAGATTGGGACTCCGTAAATCTCATGATTAAAAACCAACATAATGAGATACAAACAACATTTGGTCGGAGGAAAATGGTATTGGAACATCGATTTAAAGATAATATTACTTATTCTCTATTGATCGATAATATGTCTCGGTCGGGGTTGAACTATCTTTTTTACGAGGCCAAACGAGCTGAAACTGTAGGTTCCGATAGTGCAAAGTGTGATTGAACTATTGTGAAAATCTATGGTCTTTCGTGTGCTTATGTTATTGCTAAAAAGTTTAAACTAGGTAAGCCAATAAGAATGGACGAAGTTTGTCCTCATTGAAAAAGACTTAGTTTTGATGATGATGGTTGCATGGAAGGAGGTAAACTGAATATCTCTATTTTGACCGAATGGGAAGCGATACAAGAGATATTCTCAAAGGCCGATGACAACATGAAACTCCACATCAAAGAATAATTTAGGAAGATTGCCTATCCCGAGACAACCGACATGAAACCGCCTTCTCAACCGGTAAAGACAAAAGGTGCTCCGAAGAAAATGAAGCTTACACCAAATGATAACTCGACTACACGGTCTCCTTCTTATTGTGTGAGAATGTTGACAAACTTTATCCCGACTCACCGACTCCTAAATCTCAAAAAAGTGTCGTGAAAAGAGTCCGCATAAGCAAACTGCCTCCGACCCCGATTCCACCGAAAATTCTATTCATCGATAAGATGTTGGTTTTTATGCACTAATACATCGACTGTATCATCAATGTTAAAGGGGATGGTAATTGCGGTTACCGAGCCGTTTCGGCTTTGCTTGGTAAAGGAGAGGATAGTCATGCGATTGTCCGTTATCAACTAATCCAAGAGTTGAAGACGCATAAAGAATCATATACGCGGTTGTATGGAAAGAAATAAAAATTCGATGCGGTTCATGAATCTCTTGTTCCTTGCTTGAGTGGTCCGGCACCGGTGTCGAAATGGACGACCTTCCCTGATATGGGTCATCTTATTGCATGTGCATATGATAGGGTATGCAGTTTCAGTGAAAGTTTCGGAGATACATATCCGGAACCATTATAGGGTTGTTCCGTGGATATACCTCTGGAAACAAGTTTGACAGGAAATGGTTGGTCCCTATTCACCTAAGTTTTCTATAAATTTGGGGTTTCATTTGTTACCTTTCACACAAATGCAAAAATGTCTCAATTGTTTGAAATCAAGATCCGTTGGTATGTCGCAAGTGTCTCTTTTTCCGACGGCAAAACACCCGGGAGGACGTTCAAGCTCATGGATCTCACCCCCTGGCCGATATCATAGACGAGATCCAATATCGTCTACCTTACAATGACAAACGAAAGGTTGTGAAGCTTGAATATCGTTCACCTTCAGTTGACAATGATGGGAATGTTGTTTACAACAAGTTTGAGCTCAAGAATCAAGACGACGTTAGAGCGATGTGGCGAACGTATTTCGATCTCAAAGAGAAGATTCCGCTCGAGTTGGAGGCGACGCTCCGAAGAACGATCGATGACATCTTAGAGATGTGCAGGCCTCCACCGGACTATTGAAATGTAATATTTAAATTTCTGTCAAAATCATCAATGTAAGACCGATTTTATTTTATGAATGTTGATTTTATTGTTGCAATGTTGATTTTATGGTATTTTGTTTCTGAGTTTTTTCCGTAAATATGAATAAGGAAGTCTTCCGTAGATGCATCTACGGAATAAAATATAAAAAAAATTAAAAAAAAAATACGTCCGAAGATACATCTCTAAAAACAAAAGGTATTTTTAAAACCGCACATGATGTGTAAGAACCCCAAGAGGTGGTTTTAAAAAAAATTTCAAAATATAACAGTCCCAAATGAACCATTTGATTGGGATCCATGTTTATACACAAGTCAAATGAACCCCAGGTAATAATATCTATCCAAGTAAAATAAAAACATTTTTTTAATCAAAAACCATATACAGGCGTTACATAAATGAAATGGTGAAGGATGTACTCACCGCTTTTTTAATACACATTTACAAATATTTATGATATTTTTTATTTAATATTTAATTTTAAATAGAAGTTAGGTAAAAAGCTACGTAAAGTTAATAATAAAAAGTTATGTTATATAAAAGATAATATTAATAGTTTTAATAAAAATTATTGTGTAAGTTACATATAAGAATGGATACCATATTAGAATTTGACCTAACACAACCCTATAAAACAGGTTGATAAGGTGAGTGATGTCACTCTATATAAACTATTTTAATACTCTATCTCCCAACCAATGTGGAATTTAGAATCTATCTTCCTAACACTAGCAATCAATAAGAAACTTCGTTTAATAATGATATTTTGACCTCAAAGTTCTGCTGTCAAATTTGGTGCATTCACTTTTGGTGCATATTTTTTAAATACGTTACTATTAAAGTTGTAGAATATAAAAAATAAGAGATAGAGTTTAACATTATACTGTGTATTTTGATGTTCAAATAACAAAGTTGCTTGTTTAAGAGGAAAAAAGAAAGACAACTCATTTATATCCATCTGACTACATCACCTCATTGACACGAGTTCTTTCATGGTTGAATCCATAAAATCCCCCTACATTTGGTATGTGTTTGGTTGCGCTTTTGGCAAAGTAAACTTGCCTCTGCAACACATACCACAGGCAAAAAAATGTGAAAAAGCTGAAGCTCCAAACAGGCTTAATCCACATCAAAATCCTACTACAGTCTACAGATTAGCTATTCCTGCTTACTACGAGCAGCCCTTGCACGATGTCTTAGTTCAGCTCTTTTCCACTTAACAATCAAGTAGCATAAGGAAAAGAGCGTATTGATCTGCAGAAAGAGACAAGATACATAAAGTCGATATTAAAGATGAAAAGACCATTGTAAAATTGTTGTGTCATAAGGAAAAATACTAACCAAGATTATCATAGCCACTGCAAGGAGAGGTCCAGACCAAAGAACTGACATAAATACTCCACTTGGATCAAAATAGTTTTGACTAGAGAAGCTTTTCCAGTTTCCCCCCAGAAAACTATTAAGTCTCTCAGCAAGATATACACCAGCCACTGCATCAAAACAATTTTCAAGAAAGAAAATCAACACTATTGGTTCAACAGAGATAAAAGAACTTCAAAAATATGAAAGAAACACAAGGATTAAGAGATGTAAACACAAAAAATGTGCATGGAAAATGATTATACATATCACTCTGAAAAAAGTTGACTCGAGACACAAGAATGCATAATCAAAATGTGTATATCTTCTCTAAACTAGGTATTTGAAGTTCCACTCTGAAACCCAAAACCATCTATTCTTCCCTATTAATTATATCCTTGGGATGTAAGCATTAAAAACATGTGAATTGAAAATGATTAATCATATCAGTCTGGTACAAGTTTAGACTTGAGTTGAGACATGTGAATGCACAATGGAAATGTGTATATCTTCTCAACACCCTCCTAGGTATTCAAATTTCAACTCAAAAAACCCTATATTCTTTCCCTATTATTTATATCCTATCATCTCTCCTCTAACTAGCTATTGAACTAACTAAATATTTTGTATCTTCATTGCCTGATACCCATACCTCACGTGTCGGACAATTAAGACAAGTGTTTCAAAAAGAAAATGTTTTTTTCTTTGTTTCAGCACACCTTTATACATTTTTTGAACAAATCTCACACAAACCTAAAAGGGTTAAACATGCATTGACATAATGTTCTCAATAATGAATTAAAGACATTAATTTAATTAAAATATGTTATCTCTTTTAATAATAGATGGATGTATGAAGCTCAAATACTATCACATATATAGTGGTGTTGATGTCCTTTGTTTTTGAAATTATCGGTGTCAAAGTGTTTGTGCCATGTCTCAGTGTTTGTGTCAGAGTTTGTGCTTCATAGGTAGTTCACTATGCAAAAAGATGTAATTTCGATGAGTTGGCATGACCACATACTCACTCTTTTGATTTTTCTTTTTTTTTTTGCAACCATCAAGGTATGATAGGATAAACGGACTTTTGTGCATATAAAGCTGGAAACCTAACAGAATAGAATTCATAATTTTTTTTCCAATTTCACATAATCGCCACTCAGCATTTCACCCAAGGAACAAAATAAAAGGCAAGGCAGTAAGCTGATTAACAGGGGAGGCAACAACTTCAAACAGGAGTGAATTGAAGTACATCAAAAGTGATAGAGTAGTTTAATTTAGCCTTTATAGCTTATTACAAAAAAAGTCATTCAATAAAATAAAAAAGGAATGCTACTTACACGTCAAGAGGAACAAGCACATTTGAAAGTTGGTATTCTTCCTAGAGATAATAGTTACAAGCAGCAATACAACATAGAATGATAACAATCCCAGTAGCCAGGGTTCCTGAAACCAAAAAATTAAGGCAATATTAGAAAGGACGCAGGGTTCAAATAACCAGCAAGTTCAGAAAACACCAAAAGTGAAAGATCCATAAAACCACTTTCTCCGTCCATAAGTGATATCCATATAAAGAAAACAAACATAAAGTCTCTTCCACTGATCACAAGACATTGAAGTGACAAGAAAAATGTCAATCACATTTTGATGAACTATGCTATGATAGCATGGGAGAATAGGTTTCTTCTGTAGCAACATTATTAAGGTTTAAATCCTTAAGAGAATTGAGCATTCTTATGGCAAGAAAGCCTTAGTGATAACACCTAATTGGCAACCAAAAAATAATGCATCCAAACACCTTTTCTTTTGAATTTTTTAGTGAAAAATCTCACAATATCATCTACATAGGCTCATTCCACAAGTCAAATTATATTATCCGCAAAAGAAAACTTTCTCCTCCTATCTCCATTATCAGAAAACAATATCCAAGAAAATGGTACCAAGGTTGTCAAATTGAAATTCAAATCATGAATTTGAAGACCTTTTCTCCAAATCGCATATCAAATCTTATCATGAATAAGTTACATTGCTTATCAAATGACATTTTTAAGTAAAAAAACAAGTGAAATAACAAAATTTTAAGTTCATGTATCATAATCGAACCTCAAAATAAATTCAAGATTCCAGACATATCTAATGACAAAAGAAAAGTGATTAGTTATACAAAGTTGACAAAAAATAGTGGTTGACTACAGTTATTTTTTATAGTGATTCATTTTAGGATTCAAGATAAGATTTATGTCCTAAAAGATAAACACCGGACATTCAAATCAATTGAGTTCCATTTAGTATGGAATTGGGATACAACTCATGGATAGTATGTTGCTGATAAGTGATAACCAATTAAAAGTATAATGGAATTACAAGCAGCGAAATCAAGCACAAAGCATGACAGCAGTTTCTGCTATAATGCTCCTATCTAATAGTTAATCTTGATATCTTTTATAATAGTTTCTTTTACCGTTTTTCTAGTCTTCCTCTATCTCTAGTTGTTAGACTCTTCACCGTCTGATCTACTCTCCTTACGATAGAATTTTCAGATCTTTTCTTTACATATCCAAATCACTTAAGTCTATTTTCCATCATCTTTTCTACTCTAGATGATACTCCCAACACTCTAATATTATCATTTTAAATCTTATGTTTGTCTATTCTTACCACACATTCAACTTAACATTCTCATTTAATCTCTAACTAGCCAAAATAAAATAAATTACACAATAAATAATTGAAAACATCCAATTCAATTCAATAACAATTAACTAATCACTAAAAAATTACGGAAATATAGAGAAACAAAAGAAAAGGTTGATGAAATTGGAGGAAAAGGAGTACCTTCCAATCAATGGCATGAAAGAAACCCAAAAAGTTATCGTAAGCAGGGCGAAGGTTGGTACGAAGTTCGGAAGAGATCTTCTGAACAAGATCTGACATAAGATCAACGTGTTCATTCATAGCAGATTTCAGCTCCTCGATCGACACTGTAATAAACAAAATGAACAAGATTGAAGAAAATGAAACAACAAAGAAATTGCATAATTATAAATTCAAAATAATAAGGTGAAGAAAACATAAATAAGGGACTCACTGGCGGCGAGGGCGTGTGGATCTGCAGTTACCGGAAAATGAGTACTTCAGTTCACTATGTTTGCGGTCTCCGGTGAACTCGAGGTTTATAATCACAGGAGTGGTTGCTTTTTCTCTGAATTTAGATTTAGATTCTAAAATATGTGTTTCTTCCAACTAGGACTACTAGTACTATTGCATCTTGCAGTGTGTAGTCTTTGTTCTAAGGGGTAAATTGGGAATTTCGACATATAATCAGAGTGCAGATGAAGTTGCTTAACAGTAGCACGCGTTACTGCCGAAAAAGGAGAAGGAAGGAATGCAAACATTGATGGGCCTGGCCCAACTGTTTTCCTCCGGCTAGATTTGGAGATTTTTATATGGCAACCCCTACTCATACCTCACACTTCAAGAACTATGCTTTTATCCTTATTCTCTTGCTTAATATTTTCGAATTTGAAAAATTACCGTACATTATCGAATTTTTTCATAAAATACCGATTTTTTAAAAAATACAATATACAATGGTTTTTTTAATAATATTTTTGTTTTTTAAACCAAATTTTGACATTTTTAACAAAATAATAAGACGATAATAATACATTGTATCAAAAGTATATGTATAGTCACAATTAACTTGATAAAATAGAATACTAACAATAGATAATGTACTACAATATTAACAATATGAATACAAAACAAATTATATAGACTTACCAAATTCTACTCAATGTCTTATACGTCCTACATATGTTGTTTCTCATGCTCTCACACCTTCACTATGGTTTTGTCTCCAACGGTCAGCTTAGAGAGACAATGGACAATCAAGTTTTAACTTTAACTGAATTCAATGATTGTTGTTAATAAAATCAACTACAATAAGCTTATGTCCACTCACAGACATGTTAGAATAAGTAATTCATTATTTTGTAGAAAAAGACTATATTCGACATATGTGTGTTCAACCTAGTCGAAGTAGTGAGTCTAGTAGAAGTTAGTTGTATTTGACAATGTTGAATACAACATGTAGTTTCCAAATTGTGTAAGCATGCATTCGACTGAGTCGAATGCTGCAGCTTTTAAACTTGTATGTTTTGGGTTGCCTATATATACCAGCAATGTTGTAAATTATAGTATGCATCAACTTCATTTTAATAAATTTCTCTCTTCACATATAGTTTCTCTCTCTCTCTCTCTCTCTCTCTCTCTCTCTCTCTCTCTCTCTCTCTCTCTCTCTCTCTCTCTCTCTCTCTCTCTCTCTCTCTCTCTCTTCTTCTTCTTCTTCTTCTTCTTCTTTATTCTTCTTGAAAATCCTAATTGTTCTAACAAATTGGTATCAACGAGCCCAGTTGTGATTCAGAGAGAATCTATAACAAAAAACAGTAACACAACATCAACGTAATTTTCAGCAGGTCTACATGTATTCAAATCTACCTTTATTCTTAATCCGTCAACGTGTGGATCCTTACGCATTCGAGAATATCATTAAAGAAGAAACGTCCAAAGAAGCATGTTAAAAGTTAAAGAACTTGTACGACAAAGATGAACTAAAGAGGGTGAAGTTGTAAATGTTGAGCAAGTAGTTTGAGATAACACAAGTGAAAGAAGATGAATTTTTTGTTGATTTCTTCTTAAGATTAATGTACTTAAGAACCAGATGATGGTGTGTGGTAAATCGATCAATGATCTATAGAAGATTGAGAAAGTGTTAATATTTGTGACTGCAATTTTTGATTACATTGTAGTGTCAATTGAAGATTTCAAGAACCTAGCTAAAATGAAGTTAGAAGAACTTGAAGCTTCATTAGAGGCTCATGAGATAAGGCTAAAGCATTGGAACTTAAAAATAAAGAAGGTGGCTGAACAGGAATTGCAAGCAAGATTCATCAAGAAGTCTGAAAATAAAAGGCGAAACAGAGAAAGAATCTTGCAAATGATGAGAAGTCAAACAAGAGTTCAAATAATCACTATAATTTAACCAAGAAAGTCATGAGTAACAAGTATTTAAGGAATAAAGTTGACATGAAGTAGGTGTAGTGTTACAACTGTCAAAGATTTGGTCACTATGCTCGAGATTGCTGAAGAAAGAAGAAATCAAGAGCAAAAGATAATGACAAAGTGCAATATGCACATGCTGGAAGAAGTTAGGGGTGTTCATGCTTCATGAACTACATTGAACCGAATCATATTTATGATTTGGTTCAATTTACAATAACCACTTCAATAAAAATTCAATTAACTGCTAAAATGGTTTCAATTCAATTTAAAACTAGTTTATACATAAAAACTAGTTTATAATCCGTTTATAATTTTAAACCAATTATATATTTTGAACTCTTTTAAACCAAATTTTTTAACTTCATACAAAATTTAAAAAAATTATATTAAAAAAAATTATTCTTTAAAATATTTATTTTTAAAATAAATTATATTTTTTTATTTTTTTATTTTTGAGAAATTTTTTAAAAATTTTTGGAAAAAAATATTTTCAATTTTTTTTCATTTACAGATTATGTACTTTAGAAAAAAAAATGTTTTTTCGTTTTTCCGAGAAAACATGATTTTTTTCATTTTTTCGAAAAAAATTCGTTTTTCACATTTCCAAAAAAAATCAATTTTTTTGTATTTTCGGAAAAAAAAATCAAATTTTCTTGTTTTTAAAAAAAAACTTGATTTTTCGTATTTTTGTAAAAAAATAAATCGTTTTTTTGTATTTTCAAAAATACTCGAATTTCTATATTTCCAAAAAAAACTCAACTTTTTCATATCTCCGATAAAAACTTTATTTTTTCATATTTCTAAAAAAAACTCGATTTTTTGTATTTCCAAAAAAGCCCGATTTTCTATATTTCCAAAAAAATATCGATTTTTTGTATTTCCAAAAATACTCTATTTTCTATATTTCCAAAAATATCGATTTTTATATTTCCAAAAAATCTTGATTTTTCATATTTCTTAAAAAAAACTCGACTTTTTCATATTTTTGAAAAAACTCAATTTTTCATATTTCCAAAAAAACTCAATCTTTCCATATTTCCGGAAAAAACTCGATTTTTTCATATTTCCAAAAAAAATCGACTTTTTTCATATTTCCGAAAAAAACTCAATTTTTACATTTTTCCAAAAAACTTTGACTTTTTCATATTTTTGAAAAAACTCGACCTTTTCATATTTCCAAAAAAAAACTCAACTTTTTCTATTTCTAAAAAAACTCGGCTTTTTTCATATTTCTGGAAGAAAAACTCGACTTTTTCTTATTTCCGAAAAAACTCAACTATTTCATATTTCCGAAAAAACTCGATTTTTTCATATTTTTGAAAAATATCGACTTTTTTCATTTATTCGAAAAAAACTCGAATTTTTTATATTTCCAAAACGACTTAATTTTTTCAGATTTCCCAAAAAAACTCGATTTTTTGTATTTCTAAAAAAACTCTATTTTTTCATATTTCCAAAAAAAATCGACTTTTTTCTTATTTACGAAAAAATCGAGTTTTTCCATATTTCCGAAAAAAACTCAACTTTTTTCATATTTCTGAAAAAACTCGACTTTTTCATATTTCCGGAAAACTCAATTTTTCTTATTTTCGAAAAAATTAGATTATTTGTTTTTCTAATAAAACTCGATTTTTTTCATATTTTTGAAAAAACTCAACTTTTTCATATTTTCGAAAAAACTTGACTTTTTTATATTTTCGAAAAAACTCGAACTTTTCATATTTCTAAAAAAAACTCGATTTTTTCTTATTTTCGATAAAAACACGACTTTTTCATATTTTTGAAAAAACTGGACCTTTTCATATATCCGAAAAAACACGATATTTTCATATTTCTGAAAAAACTCAACTTTTTTCATATTTTCGGAAAAACTTGACTTTTTGATATTTTCGTAAAAACTCAACTTTTTTCATAATTCTGAAAAAACTCGACTTTTTCCATATTTCTGAAAAAACTCGACTTTTTCATATTTCCGAAAAAACTCTACTTTTTCATATTTTCCAGAAAACTTGACTTTTCATATTTCCAAAAAAAGCTCAATTTTTTCTTATTTTTGAAAAAAAAAACTCAATTTTTTTATATTTCTGAAAAATCTTGATTTATTTTATTTCCGAAAGAACTAAATTTTTTTTCATATTTTTGAAAAAAAATCGATGTTTTGTATTATTAGTTTTTTTGTTTTCAATAAAAATAATATATTTTCAAGAAATAAAAAATATATTTTCTATATATATATATTTTTTTTGAAAAAAAAGATTCAGAATTTTTTAATCTCAATTAATTTTTTTATTCTTTTTATTAAAAACTAGTTAATTTATATAATTAAACCAATTTATAAAAGAAAATTGGTTCTGAACCGATTTTAAACTGGATTCGAATTGTTTTAATTAAATGGTTCAGTTTATTAATCATTTAAGTGGTTCAGTTTTTTTTATAGTGCAATGCAATTCAATTCAAGTATACAATTCAGTTAACCATATTTTTGAACACCCCTAGAAGAAGTGGCTATAATGATATACTACTAATGGAAAATACACAGTCGAAAATGATGAACAAAACAAATATGCGGTATCTGGGTTCAGGATGTAGTAATCACGTGACTTGTAATAAGAACTGACTCATCAAGTTAGATGAATCAGTCAAGAAAGTGATCAGGTTTGCAGATGGCGTGCATGTTTTATCAAGTGGAAAAGGAATCATAGTTATTGTAACACCCCAAGTTTTCAATTAACTTATTTAATGGAATTTTTAATGCCTTTTTTATTTATTTATTTTGAGGATAAAATATTTTGCGTGACTTATTTGATAATTGTGGTATTTAATATGACTTTTTGTTTAATTCAAATAATAGAAAAATGAGAAATACTAAGACATGGGGTAGGAAATTCATTTTTATTGAAGTTTGCGGGCTAAGGTGTGAGCCACCAAATGTTAAGGGAGAATTACGAATTAAATAAAATAATTGGAATTATTAGGTTAAATAAATAGTTAGGTGAGTGGAGTAGAAAGTTTTTGTCAGATACAT